GAAGCCGGTCACACACAAAAACCATATTTTGTGTTGTTCACTGTGCACCTGTGGTGCCCAGACCCTGAGGGATAAAATGAAGGCCAGTTGGCCCAAGTCAAGACAGTGCCACCAAATGTATGAAGATCTCACATACTCCCAGTTTTGTTTTTTTTAAGCCATTTTTATCTACTGTGCCCGATGAAGCAGCAACAATGGTTACTTAAAACCTGAGCCTTGAGTACAAAAAAAGTTTTGTTTTTTTTTTTAACATTTTGAGTAACAAAATGGGAAATAGGCATAAAGTACTTCAACAGTGTGGTTGTCTTTCTCAAGACTTCTATGCTGTGGTTTGAGTTGCACACTGAGGTAGCTGTTTTTCATGAAACTCTATTTTTATTTGAAAGAAGGACAGAAAAACTGTGGTTATTCATACTTGGGTGTCTGGGAGAGAGTTTTTAGAAAATGAATGGCGTGAGCCTGTTGCTACAAGGCAAACAACTGATAGTATTTGTTGACAAAGATAAAATTCAAACTTTCTAGTGAAAATTGGGTTTTGGAAAACTTATATCCCATTGTGAGCATGACAGTGCTCCCAGTATGTAAAGACTCTTCTGATGACATTGGTGGAGATTAACTTATGTGATTTTCTGATATGAAGAAATGTATCAACATTTGGAAGATTGGCATAACTCAGTAACTAACATTTTACAAATGACTAATGTTACAGAATTTTTCATGGGTAGAAAATCCATTGAAGGTTTCAGGCAGACAAGTAGATTTTAATGTAACAAAGAAAAGTTCACATCACTATTGCAGCTTACCTTTGAGAAACTACCATTTGTCAAGTTTTGGTGTGGTATCAAAGAAGAATCCACAGTGACCTGGAAAGACTATTAATATATTATTTCCTCTTCCAGCTACCTATTTGTGAACTTTTTTTCTTTACATACTTTGTCATATTGTTGCAGATTGAATACAAAAGATGTTATAAGAATCCAGATGTTGTCTATTAAGCAAAATAAAAGACAGTGCTGCTCTTCCCACTATATATGTTTTGTTTTGTGAAACAGCATTATCTTAAAATTATGTTGTTTATGTTAACATGTAGTGGGCTTATTATTGTCACTGTAAAATGAATTAATAAATATTTTAAATGTTCTCATTTTCACTTCTAAAACAGTAACTGTCACTAGCTATAACCTACATAAACAAAAGCTCTTTGAGGCCCTCAGTTTTTAGCATGCAAAAGGGTCCTGTGATCCATTTTAGAACCACTGATCTAGGCCTGTTTCTTTTGGGCTTGCTTTACTATCTTCTATTGCTATATTGTATGTTGTACTTCCTTTATTTAACCCATAAATTTTATTTTTTTCTTCTCCTGTTACAATATTTTTGACATTTGGATGCCTGTTATATATAGTTAAATGTAATGATTCTTCCACTCCCCAGAATGAGATGATGGTATGAGTTAAAATTGGTGTATGATTTCTTAGTGCATATAATTCTACTTTGAAAACAACGGAATTCTTCCCTTTTACAAAAGTGAGACAAACATTTATATCTGCAGGTAGCTAGAAATGGAATTTGTTTTCCAATACTTTGCTGAAAAATGGAGCTGATTTCATGATTTGCGTAGTGATTGAGCACTGGCTCAGGATCCCGAAGTCTTGGCTGGGAAATTGTTCAGTGATCTTGTGCTCCCCATGTCATCTCTCTAAATCTCAGTTTATTCATCTGAAAAGTGAGTCACATGTTTTTCCTTATAATTTTTATGCACTCATGAAACTAAGAAGAAATTATAATCCAGTATAAATCCATATGGACACTATTGTTGTGAGAGTCAAGGTTGTCCTGCTGAGTGTTGATCTTAGGCAGCAGGAACTAGCTGGTCACTGTGGTGGCAGGCGCTGGGCTTTTCATTTAGATCTGGTCGTGCTGCTTGTGTGTGTGGTGATGACTCAGTCCTACAGCACTTCACACTGTAGGAAAACCTTGAGTTCCACATCAGGATGATGTTGTTTGGCATTCCTTTGGTGAGAACACTGTTTATTTCTTTAATCGGATTTTTTTTTTCTTTTCTCAGCAGCCTGGTAATCAAATCTAGGACACCTTCCTGAGTTTGCATTTGATACACATATAAACATGGGGCCTGAAATTGCATAGGAGTACTCAGTTACAAAGTAGTGGAAGTAAAAGATCTAGACTATATTTATATTGATTTCTTTTATTAATATCGCTAAAATGAAAACAAAAAGTTTAATGTGTGAAGAATTCACGGGAAGGACTGCATAATTGAACGTCTCCTGGGCACTCTTCACCTTGTAGTTGATGGAGGTGCTGCTCTGTGCCATGCCCCGCCCTCCACCTAGAAGAGACAACCTACACAGTCCCCGCTGTCACCTACCTGGTCTCTATCTAGTCCCCTCTCTTTCTCCATATCCACATTTAGAGTTTCAGATATATAGAGGTAAATGCGAATTATTTTCGTCTGTTGCAGACTAACAGATTAACCATGTTTATGTCTAGTCAGAAGATGATGGTCCTAATTATTTATCTAATCAAAATCATGCATGCAATGTATTCTCCTGAGGGCATTTTAAAACACAAGTAAACTGTTTTATTGTGGCCAAGCAAATTCAATGCAATTGTATAGTCCCTGAATTTTTGGAGGGGTTGGAATATACTTTTGTGCAGTTATTTTATTATAGATAGTAGATACTGCTTTTTGGTTCATGCTTTTGGTACTATTTTTTAAAGGCCTTCTCTTGTGAGCGAATCGTGCTTCTTTTAGACTAACACCCAGATACACATGCACAGAGAAACTGAGGTATACAGGGTTGCTTAACAACTGAACAATTAACGACCCTATAATTGGAAAGCAACAGAACATACATCTAAGTAAAAGTATTATAATTGTCCATAAGTCTTTGTCACCTCCACCCCATTTTGTTACTTTTCTGCTTGATGATTTGGGGAATAATTTTGTTTCCTCTTGGTTACTTTCCTTATAGTAAGAGCATTGTAATATTAACACATACAGATTCTTAGATGTATATTTGTGTGAAGTTGTTCTGAGAGTGACTGTATAGTTCTCATTCATGCTTATTTTTGCTTTGTGTGTGTATGTGTGTGTGTGCAAATTATAGGCAGCAAGGGCTGTCATAGATACTTACACAATCTTAAAAACCAGAAATTATTCTCTATAATTTTTATGTATGTGTTTCTACCAGAAAATTAAGATAACTGCCAACAATATCAAATTAAATCTTGTTTGTACTTTTTTCTGGTAATGTCGTTCAGCCTGTGTTATTGATATCAAATACTCATGATGCAAATAAATTTTAAATGCAATATTACTGTGATTCATATATTTCTGTTTTCTCTGATCATTTCTAATTTGCTTTAACATCTTGGAGACTATTGGATTGACAATGGTTTAAAGTCACCTTCAATGGATATAAATAGCCTGTCTTTTCTTTAGCACCACTCCATTGACCAATGCATTAGTGTTTCAAAAATGTTGCTTATAGAGTAAATTATGAGTTTACTGCTTGCTTCATGGTTAAAACTGTTTTCTTAGGGGCGTTTTTTAAAAATTAAAATTAGTATTTGACTTGCATCTTAGTTTTTGAAAATAGATTACTCAAAATTTAACCTAAATTTTGTGTTTTATGTTTATCATGTTTTTGATTGATTTTACTCGGTGAGTAGGACTCTTGGTTCTGATTCTAACTGTTGCAGACTCAGGTGCTTTTATTCTTCTCTCTGCTTTCTGTAGTTCTTTTTCTTCTCTGCCATGCCATAACAATCATCATATCTACCAAGATGTTCTCAGTACTACCGTATAAATGTTCACCTGAGTTTGTTATTGATTTTGTTGTAACAGTTGCAAACAAAAATCTTCTATGTGCATAGAGTTGCTAAAGTACTGTTTCATGTAACTGTGTATGTGAGTTTATGACAAAAACTGTGTATTAACATGTTATTTTCAAGGTTTTCTTCATCTTAAACATAAGGAATATTTTTGTGCTCTACACTTTCTGATAATACTTTATTGAACAAAAGAAACACTTTATTTAACAAAATTCCTTAATAGACTAGCCAAATATTGTCTAGATTCTATATATATATATATATATATATATATTATTTTTTTTTGACTTTTGTCTTTTTTCCGTGTCTGGCAACGGATCGCAACCCTCAGTGTTGCCCCCGTACCGGACCGGGGACCGGCAACGGGATTGCAACCCTCAGTGTTGCTCCCGCGCCTCGCTCAGCCAGTGAGTGGGAACCGGTCTGTATGTGGGATCCGAACCCTCGGGCGGGAGCGCCGCCGCGCTTCCCAAGCGGCGCACTATCCAGTGCGCCATCGGGCCGGCCCTAGATTCTATATTTTTAATGCAGCAGATATAATTAAAAATTGGATGAAATTTGTTTAGCTGCTTAGATTTGTTATTTATATTTTATAATATATATGCTAATTTATTTAGAAATACTGGGGTAATAATAATAATAATGGTTGTTATTGTTATTCTCTGAGTGCACACTATGTGCCAGGCACTGTTTTAAGTACTTTTTCTTATTTAGACGTCACGGTACCCTTATGAAAAGGTAGTATTTTATTGTCATCAGAGTAGGAAGGGATTAGAGACAGAGGACCTTTAGACAGCTTGCCCAGAGCCACACAAATAACAAGTGGTGAAACCCAAATACAAGCCCGGACAGTCTCACTCCAGAACTGGACACCTACCCACATCTATTACCACAAAATGTTTTAATGGAACTAGCGGAACTTGTATTTAGAATGATGACTCACTGTCCCATTTTTAAAAGTATTATTCTATTCTTTAATCTTTGGGATTTAAGTATATTTATCCTAAGATCTATTTTTCAGACATTATTATATTTTACTTATTTATTCTTCATTCATTGGGCAGCTGGCCAGGATGGGGTTCTGAACTCTTGACCGTGGTGTTAAGTATCTTATTTTTAAACATAGTATTTTTTTGTATTTATAGATATGCCTCTTCATGTTCGACGAAGCAGTGACCCAGCTTTAATTGGCCTCTCAACATCTGTCAGTGATAATAATTTTTCCTCTGAAGAGCCTTCGAGAAAAAACCCCACACGCTGGTCAACAACCGCTGGCTTCCTCAAGCAGAACACTGCTGGTAGTCCTAAAACCTGTGACAGGAAGGTAACCACCTCTGCTTGTTCTTTGCATCCCTTCATCCCCTGTCTTCTTGGTATCAGTGATGAGTGCCAGCTGTTGGGTAGACCATTTAGTTCTAGGCCTTTTCACTTCAGCCCTCTGTGTGTGTATTATCAATTTCACATCAGACTTCAGATAACCTCCTATTTTATATCATGTTTGAATGTTCTGATAAAATTCAGTGCTATGCATGGTGTACATTTATTTATGTATCCATTTTTTGAGGAGATAATATATTTATAAGATTAAAAATGAAAACTTTCAATGGGAAATGTTTACCATATAAAGTGCTTTTCCTACTTTGTTTCACAGCCACCCGCAATTCTCTTCACAGGCAGTCCCTATATTTGCTTTTTGTATGTCTTTACAGGGATATTTTGTACACATATAAGCAAATATTCATATTGGCTTACGAGGTACATTAAATAACTTATAGTGTTGTGGACTTTTAAGGATGAAAGTGGACTTTATGATAATTTATTCTGACTACTCGATTGATCATGAGTCAGCGGTATAGTCAATAAAAATTTCTCCGTTGACCTAATTTATTTCAGTCTTTGACCTAATTTTAGTCTAAATAAATAAACTTTAGTTGAGACTATGTAGTCTATTTAAAAAAAAATTGGTTGTTAAGCTCTTTGTCATATATTCATACAGCACCCTTAACTTCCCATCGTGTTATACTGCTAACTTTTTACCCAATGAGCTTTAATCTGTCATTTTGTAGAATAGATGCTCAATAAACATCTGTGGAGTGAATTAACAAACTTTTAAAAATGCAGCCAATAATTTAGCACAGCATGTATTGAGAAATGTTGAGATAATACTAATCACATATTAATATCAAAATGGATTAGCTTGATATTTGCTTGATTTATCCTTTGCAGCTATGTAAAAAATGCCTGTATTAAATATTTAACTTTGTTTTGCATTGCAACAAAATCTTCTTTGTACTAGTTCAAGTAACAAGTATACATAAATTTAAATTGAGAAGAATCTAGTATTAAAAAAAAGTGTATTTTAGTTTCTGATTTTTTGAAGTAGTAATTTAACTGTTAGGTGAGTAAGCCTAATTTCACTCCCCTAAAATATTTTGTTATTATAGATTTGATGGGGAACCACATTGTGTATTATTAAGATTAGCTTGAAATTTTAGAGGACTTTATCATGCAGTAGACTATCCAAAGAAGCAGAATTCAGTTTATGAATAAGCCTCATGACATTTAATTTTTCTTCAGAATAGACCTAATTTACATGGATATTCACAAGTGAATGAATAAGTCAAGTTGGCAGTTTAAAAAAATTTGTTTCAACTGGATTTTCTACTTGAAGGATACAAGGTCAGAAATCATTGAGGTAATCAATTCAGCATCTTGGGCGTGTAATTTTTAGTTGCAGCAGACAGAACCTAAAACATAACACATATTTTAAACATAAAAGGACTTAGTACTTAGATTTTTTTTTTTTTTCTCCCACAAAATCATTCGACAGGCTTGCAGAGCAAGCCCTTGGCTGGGTCTGGGGAACTTTTACAAGTATGCAGTTAAAACACATCTGGGCCCAGGGATCTGCTCCTCCTGCCACTGTGAGGAGTCCAGGGACCTGAGGTGTTCCTACCCAAGTCTGCCCTGCAGACACTAGCACTGGGTCTTATTGTGTTCACGTTGCCTCCTGTCGTCTGTGAAGCTGGAGCCTAAACCCAGAAATGCTGCCGATAACAAGAAAAGTACTTGTTTCACAACCACCATTAAAATCTCACACTATTGAATGTGAATAGGCAGAATTCAATTTGTAAGCAGACTCCTGTCTGCAGGAGAGTCTGGGGTTGAGATGCTCATCGCCAGTTAACCATATCCACCTCACTGACTTAGTCTTAAATACCACGTAGCTATCATAGTAAAAAACTTGGGAAACTAGTAGAATACAAGAAAATGAAATTGCCTGTAATTTCAAAACCCAGCAACAACTTGTGTTAAAATGGCAGTGAATACACAGACACAAAAACACACAGAGTTGGAGTCTACATATTTATATCCTCATTATTTCTACATTTTCTCATAGGGATTTCCCCTGGTGTGAAATTTTTTTAGAAAATATTTTTAATGAATGCAGAATAAACATTATAAATATCAGTGTTGTGAGACATCCTTGAATATAATATTATTTGTATTAAAAGATTGTTATATATTCAACCAGCTTTTTCCCTATTTAATGTAGCCAAATGCCCACACTTTCTGTAGGAAAGGCCTTGATCTACATACATACATATATGCCTCTATATAAAATCATATTCACATACAGCACACATAAAGGGTAATGTGTAATGAATTAGTCTCTTGAATTTTCTTTGGCTTTACTTTTCAAATGCTAATTTACTAATCTTGCTGTCTGAACTTTATGCTGTTTGTATTTTAGTCTGAGAGTTTTATGTATACACAAGGGTACCTCAAAAGTTTGTGGAAAAATGGAAATAAAAGATAATATAAATCTTTCCATAAACTTTTTGAAGATCCCTCATACATATATGTTTGATTAAATGCTATCCTACTTTTAGTTATAAAAAGACTTCTCATCCTTTTAATATTCAGTTAGGATGTTGGAGGAAAACATACTTGCTGATCAGGCACAAAGCAATGCATTTATTAATTTCCATTGAGTCTCTGAGAGCTTATCTATGCTGGGTGATTTCTTGTATGATGCTTTAGGTTTTCTGTATAAAAACACAGAAATAAATGTTATGTCTTCATAGCCTTGTGATTCATTGATCTCTAAGGGTTAAAATAAGTTGACATTCTTGAATGACTCATTTACATTGTTATTTAAATGGCTTATATTCTTCCAGGTTAAATAAACAAAACAAATAAGTTTTAGAATCATCTTACCAATCATTTAAAATCTCTTGTTCCTGAGCAGTAAAGTTCCATTCTGATATGTTAGGACACTACCATGTCGAATTCTCTCCTGCGTTTTAACACCACAGATGAGAGGTGGAATCTTCCTACTTGAAATAGTGACAATATCTCATCCCACTACTAAACTTCGAGGGCAGTGTAGACAGACTTGGTGCTATGCCAGCAAAAAGCTTGGAGAGGCCACGGGTTCTACGGGCTTCAGGATTTTAAAAAATTCTTCATACTTTTATTTGGCTGTGAGACACAGAGGGGAGGGGAGTCTTGGCTTTTTGCCAAGTTCTTTGGGGTATTTACTCATCCCTGTTTCCAGCATTTCAAGGCTGAATGCCGTTTCCAACTGTTTTTAGAGAACATTTTGCTCACACTTTGTGTGGAAGGTATCTCGCTAGAAGCTGTATTTTCATTTGAGATTTTCTGTGTGGTTAATTTTTCATCCTAGGAAAGAGTATTTCAGTCAGTCTGAATACTTAAATCATTTTACCACCTCTTTGGTCATCCTTATTAAGTCAGTGTCACTGTGAATAGAGGCCAACTAGTCTGTGGAGAGTGTTTGATTCATCCCATCAAGAAAGATGTAATGAGGCACTTAGCAGAATCAGCCTACCATGAAGTTCCAAGGGTAAAGACTGTGTCCCGTTTCACTGTGCAGTTGTTACAGCCGTTGTACCTTCCCCCTAAATAATGAGAGGTGTTGCTTTTCTAAATTATAACCCACCCCCCACATTAGCATACATAGATTTAGTGTAAAAACCGTGTGTTGACAAATTTCCAAGAGAAATTCTTACCTGATTAGGGAAAGGGTAAGAAAGTAATAAGGGAACATATTGCGTTGGCATCATTAGTTTTTTTTTTTCCCTCCTTAAAGAGAGACCTTGGAATGTTTCTTAACCCCTGGGTTTATTATTTGTTTGATTTAGTTGCTTGACATGTTTGGTATCTTTCCAGTACCCTTGCTATGTGCAGCCTCCTGAAAGAGATGCTTTCTTAATTATGCCATTGTCATCTCTTTCTTTTCTATTAGAAATATGAGATCGTTCTTTTAAGTTTAGAAAATTTCTTTTATAATCATTTTTTGTAGTGCATTTTAAGGTTTCCCAAACAGTTTTTTTCTTTTTTTCCTTTTTGTCTTTTTTACTGACTGGTAATGGGATCGCAACCCTCGGTGTCGTGCCCGTACCAGGGACCGGCAACGGGATCGCAACCCTCGGTGTTGCGCCCGCACCGCGCTCAGCCAGTGAGCGGAACCAGTCTCCACATGGGATCCGAACCCTCGGCGGGAGCGCCGCCGCGCTCCCAAGCGGCGCACTCTCCAGTGTGCCACCGGGCCGGCCCCCAAACAGTTTTTTTCTGATACTACTATGTGTTCTTTGCATTTATAAAGTAATGAAAGGTATAAAGAAGCAGGTAAGTAATTTGAAATCTTGAAGGTGACTAGTATTGACATTTTGGTATATTAACTTCAGGACTTCTGTGGAGCACTGCTCTATGCAGATGTTGGATCTCCTTATTACCAATGGGGAATTATCCAACAAGTATAGTTTAATTTCCTGCAATTAAAAGAATTTCTGTTGTATTGAGAGAATTTTCCTATGTCTCATAAATATTGATAGCTTACATAATATTTTATCATGTACTGATTTTTTTTTTTTATTAGTTGGTGTTCATTAACTTTATTTGGTGGTTTTTCTGTTGACATTTATATTTTTGCCAATTTTGTTTGCTCTTATAAGCAGTCTTTAGAAGTACCCTTCAGAGAATATCCTTTTATATCAATTTGTGTTGACATCTCTGATTATTTTCTTAGACTAGAATCCTCAGGTAGACTTATTTGATCAAGAAGAACTTTTTAAAAGCCAATTGTTTTACATAATTAATTCATGAATATTAAGGGGTGGGGAGGGTGAGGGGGAAGTGAAGAAAACAAAGACGCGTCTTGTACTATTCCTGAGTTCCAAAAATTACTGTCTTACTATATAGCTGAATGGTTCTGTCTGAGTGTCTTCATGTTTACCTGTGGACTTTTAAGAGATGAAACACAGACATTCACTTGCACCAACAGATTTCTCTGCCAAG